ATGTACCGGAGACACAGACGGGTGCCAACGTGGCTGCGTTTCTTGATAAAAGTCTAACTCTTTGCTTTTAGCGACCTCTGACCTCGCTCCTGTCAGATTTAGAGGAGAGATGGACAGCTGTGAGAGGAGTGGATGTTGGGAGGAGAGGATGGATGATGGAGGGAAAGAGAGAGTGAAGGTATGCAGGAGGGGAAAGAGTTTGTCTGATTTTAATCAGGGAGATTTTTTAATCGTCTTTTTTCCGTCTGTTTAGTCGATAAAACGATCTTTTGGTTCAGGGTGTTTGGTCACAAACTTCTTCGCGGAAACGTTACATAATCACAACCTGTGTGTGTGTGTGTGTGTGTGTGTGTGTGTGTGTGTGTGTGTGTGTGTAAACATGATGAATTCTGGGTGACCCTGACATTTGGCCGTTACGAACGGGAACACAGCGATTCCCTGACGTTCCTAAACAAATAAATCCGGCCCACAGCCGGAATAACCATTAACAAGTCTGCTAAACACCGAGGGGGAGGACGAGAGGAAACGAGAGGGAGAAGACGATAGGAGAGGTTGAAAGTATCGATACAGGGGGAAAGAAGAAGACTAAAGAACGAAGGCAGAGCAGAGAAGTAAAGAGGAGGAGGAAGAGTTGTAAATGGAGAGAGGGAAACTGAGGAAGAGAGTAAGAAGAAGGGGGAAGTTAGAGGTGTAAGGTGGGAGTACAGATGGAGAGGAAAAGAAAGGAGAGATGGAAAGAGTGTAACTACAAACAGAAAGATAAGAAAAAGAATAGAAGAGCAAGAGGCAGTAGACGAGGACTGAAATGGAAAGAGGGGAGGGATGGAAAGATGTGCAGATAGAGAAAAGGAATGAAAGAAGGGATGTGAGATGGATGATAAGATGAGGGGAGCAAGAGTGCAGCCACAGGTGGAACAATAGAATAGAGAGAGAGAGAGAGAGGTGAAGCTGAAATAGTGAGAGGTGGGAGAGGAGAATGGAGAGATGAAATGTCGAAAAACGGGAGAGTGAGGAAGGAGTGATGGGTTGAATGAGAATAAGGAAAAGAGAGAAGGGGGGAGGGGGGGAGAGAGAGAGAGAGAGAGAGAGAGAGAGAGAGAAGCCCATTAGCGGAGAAGAAACGAGAGAAAACAAACAAGAAGATGTGAGAAAAAAACACGTCACTTTGTTTTTCTGCTCGTCGAAGAATAAGAGGAAGCAATAATGTGTGTGTGTGTGTGTGTGTGTG